CCCTCCTCCCCACTCCTGCCCCCCCACTATTGTCTGTGTCCATGGGTTATGCATGTATGCATATAAGTCCTTTGTTAATCTCTTCCCGCCTGGCATTCACTGCTCAGTGTATTTTAGCTTTCTTGTAAACTTCAACAGCTCTATTGGGGCATAATTCACATACCATATAATTCACCCATTTAAAATGTACATTTTAGCCCTTAGCTGGTTTAGCTCAGTGAATAAAGTGTCGGCCCTCGGACTGAAGGGTCACGGGTTTGATTCTGACCAAGGGCACATACCTCAGTTGCAGGCTCAATTCCTGGCCCCAGTCGGGCAACCACTCACATCGATGTTTCTCCCTCTCTCTCTCTTTCCCTTCCACTTTCTCTGAAAAGCAATGGAAAAAATATCCTTGGGTGAAGATTAAAAAAAAATTTTTTTAATGTATATTTTAGTGGCCAATAGTATATTCTGACAGTTGTATAACTGTCAGAACAATAATTTGAGGACATTTTGGGCACCCCAAAAAGCCCCTGTGCCTATTAGAAATCCTTCTCCATTGCCCACCTCACCTCACTCCTACGCTCCAGCCCTAGGCAACCACTGAATTTGCCTACTCTGGGCATTTCCTATAAAAGGAATCATACACTATGTGGTCTTATGTGACTGGCTTCTTTAATTTTAATATTTTCAATATTCATGTTGTAACACATATTAGCACTTAGTTTCTTTTTATAGCTGAATAATATTTTATTGCATGAATAGATCACATTTTATCAGTTTATCAGTTGATGGACATTTGGGCTATTTCCACTTTTTGGCTATTGTGAATAGCGCTGTGGACATTTACATGCAAGTTTTTGTGTAAATGTAGGTTTTGCTTTCTTTTCTCTTGAACATACAGCTAAAAGTAGAACTGTGGGTTACATATATATGGTAACTCTGTTTAACATTTACAGAAACTGCCAAGCTGTTTTGCAGTGGCTGCACCATTTTACATTCCCACCAACGCTGTGTGTGAGGGTCCCAGTTTCTATATACCTTCCCCCAACGCTTGCTATTTTCAGGTTTTTAAAAATGGCTGTCCTAGCGAGTGTGAAGTGATACCGTGGTTTATTTGAATTTCCCTAATGACATTGAGCATCTTTTCATGTGCCTATTGGCAACTTGTCTATCTTCTTTGGAGTAATGTCTATTCAAGTCCTTTACCCAGTTTTTAATTGTCTTCTTTTCGTCATGGAGTTGTAAATTGTAAGGACTCACATCCCTTATCGGATATATGACTTGCAAATACAGGGTGGGGCAAAAGTAGGCTTATAGCTTTGGGTGCATAAAGCACAGAATTTATTCTTGAGTTCAGCTGTTCTTGATTTAATTATTGTATTAGTTTCCGTATGAACAACTGTAAACGTACTTTTGTACCACCCTGTATTTTCTACCATTCTTTGGGTTTTCTTTTCACTCTCTTGGCGGTGCCGATTGCAGCATAAGTTTTTCATTCTGATGAAGTGCAATTCATCTAATTTTTTTCCTTTTGCACGTGTGCTTTTGGTATTAAAGCTGAGAAACCATTACCTAACCCAATTATCATGAAGATTTACCCTTGTCTTCTTTTAACAGTTTATAGGTCCTACATTTAGGTTTATGATCCATTTTGAATCAGTTTAGTAAACGGTGTGAGGAAGGGATCCAAAAACTGAAAGAAGGGGGCGGGGTATATTTGTAGAGTTTGTATTATTAACTTTCCTAGTTACCATAGGTGGTTCTCTCCATTTCTTCCCATGGCTTTGAGTTACCATCCGGTATTATTTCCCTACTCAAATACAGCTTTGCTTCAGCCTGTCTCCATTGCACTGTTATTGTCAAATGTATTACATTTTTATATGTTTTAGGCCCCCAATACAATTATATGTGTATTATTTTATGAAGTGCTCTCTAAATCAGTTAAGAGGAGACTATGCAGTTATACTGTCTTTTATAATTTTTACATAATTACCTTTACGTGTGCTATTTGTTTTTTTACATGGATTTGTTACAAAAAAAAAAAAAAGACAGAAAAGTGAATTGAGATTGATTAAATCAAAGTGATGTACTTAAATACATAATGGTATCCAAAAAAAGAGAAAAAAAGCCAAACCTAAAAAATCAAAATAAGTAAAACATATTTCTTAATAAAGGAGGGAAGGGAGAGAGGGAGGGAGGGAGGAAGGAAGGAAAAGAGACTTTTAGGCTGTCCTTAGTGTTTCTGAACTGGATGAAAAGATCACAATCTGTAAAAAATTTAAACATTGTGTTTAGAACTACACTGAAACTGGGGAGAGACGGGAGGGCCAGCAAGTCCCGACAGGCCAGAAGCGCCAGGGACCCCAGGTTTACTCGATCCTTTTCCACCCAGGACCGGGCCAGAGCCGAGGCTTTGAATACGAAGCTGCGGAAGCAGCTGGCCGAGTTCCGAGCGCCGCCAGTGATGCTGTACGTCAAGGAGAAGATCCTAAACGGGGACCTGGAGAAGACCATCAGGATGTGGGAAAGGAAAGTGGAGATTGCAGAGGTGGGCCACAGAGCAGCCCCAGATGGGCTGTCTTCCATGCCCTTCCCATTTTTGTCTGGGGTTTTGTTTGCAAGCTAAGGATACAGATGTTTGGACGCTAACGTCTGTGAGAAACCTCCACGGTGGCTGAAAGTCTTATACGGAAATTAAGGATGACTTTCCTTTAAAGCTGCTTTCTCATGGTTAGGGGCAGGGTCCTTCCAGGTCATCAGGAAGAGACTCTGTAGTAATGGTGTGTTTTTAGTTGCTTGTTTCCATAATAAATTCTGGAAGCTTCTTAACCCGCACCCCCCACCACCATGGATAGTTTAGTGATCACTACTTTATACATGAAGCCAGTTTTTTAAAAAATGAGATGATTATGTAATTTTAATATCACTTGGAACTCGATTCCATGCATTTACACAGTTGCCATGGGTCTTTTCACTTTTGACTAAACCTGCAGCCTTTTCTTGTGACACAGAAGCACTGCACCCCCTGTGGCACGGGAAACGTGCAAACGTGCTGACGTGGGAAGAAAGGGGTCGCAGACTGCCCTGGGCCAGATGTGCCCTGAGCATGTGTACTGAGCACCTTCACCCTAGACCCCAGCTCCACTTCCCACAACAGGAAGTAAAACGGGGTCCAAACCTAGGCCCATCAGATCTGAATCTGAGAAGCAGCAGAGAATCACAGCAGGAACCTGCGACCTCTCACTTTACGGACCAGAAACAAGCTCTTTAGAAGATTCGTCCTGTCCTGGTGCCCCTAGGTAGCCACGTCCTCCAGGGCAGTATTCTGGATAGTCATAATCTGTTTCTCCCAAGTGACCTTCCCCCCCCCACTCCCTTTCCTTTTGCAGATGTCCTTAAAAGGCTACCGCAAGGATTGGAATAAGATGAAAACCACCCATGAGCAGTTGCTGGAAAACCTCCCCCCTGGGAAATAGCCAGATGGAGGCCGAGGCTGCAGACTAAAACGTGATCCATTAAAACAATCAGCTCCTTTCCAGTCGCAGGGTTTGCTCACTGTTCCCTGTGGTGGCTGGTGTCCCCAACTCTCCAGCCAGGCTGACAGTCCCCTCCCAGGCCACATCTGCCCGTGGTGGATGTTGTCCCAGCCTGGCCCCTGGAACCTTTGACACTGAAAGAACCACAGGCCACTCTGATGGTTTGACTTGTTAGGCCACATTTAGTTCACAAGCACAAATGGAAGTGACCTTCCCGTATGTGGCAGTGGGACAGAGAAGAGAGACCCGCGGGCTGGGCCGGGGCAGCAATCAAAAATAGACACCGAAACAGTGTGGGGAATGCCCAGCACTCAGCAATTCTGAGCTCACTCTTCTACTTGGAGGGTCAGCTCCTAGACTCTATACCATTACAAAAGAAAACAAACACAAAGGAAAGCCAGGTCATTTCTTGGGGCTGATGTAACCTGTTCTGACCTGAAGCAGGCTCAGCAATCTGCTTGACACCCTCTTTATAATAGTCATAGTACGAGGACTGCACAGTATCCTCAGGATTGCCTAACTCCCTTACATCTTTTTCGTCATCTTCTACACTCTCCGTAGAGCTGGTTTCTTCCCATGGAGACATGGCCATGAAGATGGTCACGTTTGTTTGTTCCTGGAACTGTGTTTGGGTTGATGAATCCTGGCCCGGCGTAGAGTATTTTTCCTGTGTCACAGTAGTGTGTGTTGAGTAGCTGTAGGAAGGAGTGAAAATCTCCCGGTGTTGGTGGAAGGCGGACAGGGGAAGGCTGGTCGCCTTAGTCTTGAATGTGAGCCAGTCGCTGTAGTCTTCCACCCTGATATACAGAAATAGGCCAGGGCACTTCTCACCACCCTGGGACAGGATTCCTCTCAGTACCCACAGATTCGACTGCTGTAGCTGGCACATCAGTGGGTTTCCTGGGTCCCCCTGTGACAAAGGACAGAAGGCTTCAGGTCTATAAAAACTTTGTTTTTAATATATCATTGCGTGCCCGGCCGGTGTGGCTCAGTGCTTGAGCGTCAACCCATGAACCAAGAGGTCACCAGTTCGATTCCCGGTCAGGGCACATGCCCAGGTTGCGGGCTCGATCCCCAGTAGGGGGCATGCAGGAGGCGGCTGATCAAGGTTTCTCTCTCATTGATGTTTCTCTCTCTCTATCCCTCTCCCTTCCTCTCTCTGAAATCAATAAAAACATTTTAATATATCCTTGTGCCATTTACTGTTTGTTTTAGAAATGTTTTACACTGGTTCTAGCTGGGAATGGGGCAGATGATAGGATACTCTTTCCGATCTAGGCAGTCACCACCACAAACTTCAACAAGATGACTTTCCCTTCTATTATACAAGTTATCCATAGACTTGTGCAGTGTGCCTGTAGCTTCCTGGTTTGCATGTCACTGTCTTGCTCCTTTCCAGTACTTGAACTAAATCCTCTCCCTCTTTTGGTTTCTCATTTTTCAAATGTTGACATTCCTCTCCTTTCTGGCCTGGAATGGTCACATTTTCCCCTCTCCTCTCTCTCTTATTTCCATCTTTTATTTAAGCTGCTCGCTCCCACCCATAGTCCTGCTAGAGTCACACTGGTCACACTTCCCCAGGGAACACGCACTGGACTACAGTCACAGCCTTTCGCCAGGGCAGCAGTCCTCAGGGACTCAGGAATTCTGCCACACAGACCTTACCTCGCTTCAGGTGCTTGGGTAGAAGCTTGGCACACTTAGGTAGATACGTGACCCTGGCGAGTTACCTGAGTTTGAAAGTGGAATTGCCTAATCATGTTACACTGAGAACGGTGACTGGGCGGTCCATTCAGCAGGTGTTTCATTGAGCACTTGCTCTCTGCTAAGTGCCACCCACCATAGACAGTCCCGACAGCCACGAATCCCAGGTGAACGGTCCCCGTCCTCACGAGTTCACCATCTCTGGAAGCGACCACTGTTCCCTCTCTGCACTCAGCTCCCACTCCATCATGTCCTTACCAGGCAGACAGTATGGGTCTCCTCTTGTACGTGACTGCCGCATCCTATTTGCTGGGATTCATATGCGGGACACAGGTCGAGGTCTTGCACGGAGATTTTTCTCAGGATACTCATCGTCATTTGATTTCCTGTCTGGACCATGCAACGGAGAGCCCAAGAATTATTAACAAGAAGACAGGAACCCCCTAAGTCAACACAACCGCAGCTCACCTGCCCGGATGGGAGTACTGTTCTGATAAACCCCTTTTCCTCATAGAAATCAGAACCTGTGTCTGCGGTTTTACTGAAAACTACTTTTACTTTGAACTTGAATGTGAATACAGGCAGAGAACAGACTTATCCTTTCTCAACATGTCTAGGAAATACTGCCCAAGGAAACAAGCTTAGACAAGAGAGCAATTTGCTCTAATTCAGGGAATGATGTCCCCGGCCCCTCGAATAACCTCATACTCATTTCAGGCTGTCAGCTGCCTAGGTCCTTCCAATTTGGTGTAGGACTAGAAGGACAAAGGACCGAATGTAAGAAAGGGCAAGCACTGGGAGCCTTGACCGATTAGGTGAGGGGTGCAGCCCAACTCTAGAACCTCGAGCCACCTGCATTATTAAGATAAGCCCTAGAGTGGCCCACCCAAGTCACACACAGCCACCTCCAGGGGAGGGAAGGCATTAACTGCAAACGTGGGATTCCATCCTGCCACCCAGCAGTTCCGCGAGGCCAGCGGCGTGTACTGCTGGTTGCGGAGGAAGCAGATGGATTCGACCAGGCTGCTGAAATGCATCGCCGTGTCTGTCTTCAGGAGGGCTAAGTTATTGGTCATTGTTTCGTTATCAAAGCCCTCATGGATGATGATGGTATTAACCGGATACTCTTCGTGAGAAATCACTGTGGCATTCATCTTCGCTATACCGACTATAGCGATGGCGTCCGTCCTAGAGAGAGGACAGGGGAATCTTGAGAGGCCAAGCTTCATACTTCCCCGTTTTCACGTTTCCTATTTTTCCAGCCTGGAGCACATCCAACGCATCTTCCCCGGGCAAAGTTTCACTCACCCTTTGGACCTGGTCCCAGGAAATCTTTCCTGAACCCCTAGGCTTGCACCCTCCCTTGTGAGCCCATAGAATCTTGGGGATTCTTCTATCTTAACATTCTTTATCCCACCACCTCAGGACAATCTGCTATGTTATGGCTGATTATCTTTTTTTCTATGCATAGTTGTTTTTTTTACATAGTTGTAGTCATATCAAAGTTGTAATCTTAATTTTAATGCAAGCATCTTTCTGTGTTATACACTCTGTATATACACTTCAAAGCAATTCTGATTTTAATGATGATGGAGTTCAGTTGAGAGTTTTCCCTTTCTCCTCTTGGGAATCACCCAAGAAATGAACAAGAATGAAAAACAAGTGCAAACACCCTAAAACCAAGAGACACTAGAGAACCCAGACCTCAGAACCAGAGGAAGGGCTGAGAAAAGCTGTGAAAGACAGCAGGTGTGCAGGGGTTCTAGATGGTACCTACTGCCACGGAGGTGGGAAAGCTGCCTAACAAGCTTCTCCACAAAGTAGAAAGAATAGAAATAAACCATCACCAAAACAAAGGCCAAGTGGAAAGTAGCATGAAGGGTAAAGAGCACATGCCCTGGCCGGTTTGGCTCAGTGGTTAGAGCGTCGGCCTGCGGACTGAAGGGTCCCGGGTTCGATTCTGACCAAGGGCACGTACTTCGGTTGCAGGCTCCATCCCCGGCCCCAGCTGGGGCATGTGCAGGAGGCAACCAATGTGTCTCTCTCACATTGATGTTTCTCTCTCCCCCCCTTCCACTCTCTCTGAAAAGCAATTGAAAAAATATTCTTGGGTGAGGATTTAAAAAAAAAAAAGAGAGAGCACAAAAAACACAATAAGGGACACCAGAAGGTAGGACTGAGAAAAGCAACCAAAATGAAAGGGACATTAACAAAGACCTAGCCCAGTCTTTCGCCGCCTGGGTTTTTCCTGCTACAATAAACCCGCATGGGTGTGAAATGACGTGCGCTGCTGTTATCTACCACGGCATTTTTGGTTCTGGTGAAAGATGGAAAACCAGGCAGACTTCCGTCATCAGAGGGCCGTCTGGTGCACCCGTCAGGGGATACTGTGCAGCTGGTGAAAAGATTGCGATCCCTCTCTCTGTGTTGATAAGACAAGACCTCCCAGCATCCACAACAGAGTGAAAGAGCTGAGGGAAATACTGTGCACCGTGTGCTACCAGTTGTATTGGGGGCAGGGGGGCGTGTTATAGACTGAATTGTGTTCCCCAAAATTCATTTGTGAAGCTCCAACCCCAAATGTGACTGTATTGCAGACAGGGCCTTTAAGGGGTAATTAAGATTAAATCAGGTTGTAAAGGTAGGATTCTAATCCCATGGGACTGGTGTCCTTTTAAGACAAGGAAGACAACAGGAGTGCGAGTGCACATAAGAAAGGCCATGTGAGGACACCCTGAGGGGATGGCAGTCTGCAAGCCAGGGAGAGAGCCCTCGGGAGAACTATCCCTGCCAGCACCTTGATCTTTGACTTCCAGCCTCCAGAACAGTAGGAAATAAATTTCTGTTATCTGAGCCACCCTGTCTGTGATATTATGTTATGGCAGCCAGAGCAGACTGATACAAGTGGGGGAAGGAAATTCTCCCTCTGTCAGTAGATATAGACCTACTGACATATAGATATATAGGCTATGTGGATAACTATAGGTATGTAGATATCCATAACTGCATTGAGTATTTAAGGAAGAATACCCTAGAAACTGGTGACAGAGCTGAAGGGAAGGATACTAGTAACTGAAGTGCCTTTCCTAGTATATCCTTTGGTTCCTCATGAACATTGTACTTTGTACATGTATTTTCATTTAAATACATGTATTTTCAATTAAAAAATATAAATCATACATAAAAAAATTAAGCAGCTGCACAATATTCCATCAAAAGCTTATACTACTATAATGTTTTGCCATAGTAATTATACTCTCTCCCCCATACTGTGTGTGTATATAGCATATAATTAGTATATATAATGTTATCAAACATATAAATAAAACCCTATTTATGTAATATATTATGTTACATAATATATACTAATAATACACTATATATTATATATAAAAGAATAATATGACTTATCCATGATAATTGTACATTATGTTCCAGTGTTTTGTTTACTAACCATCCTATGAACAACTCTGTGCATAAAATTTTTCCAGTGGTTGAAATTATTTCCTTAAAGTTGATTCCCAGAAGTGAAATCACTGGGTCAAAAAGTAAGATGTTTTACAAAAGGAGTTATTCCNGTGTGTATAGCATATAATTAGTATATATAATGTTATCAAACATATAAATAAAACCCTATTTATGTAATATATTATGTTACATAATATATACTAATAATACACTATATATTATATATAAAAGAATAATATGACTTATCCATGATAATTGTACATTATGTTCCAGTGTTTTGTTTACTAACCATCCTATGAACAACTCTGTGCATAAAATTTTTCCAGTGGTTGAAATTATTTCCTTAAAGTTGATTCCCAGAAGTGAAATCACTGGGTCAAAAAGTAAGATGTTTTACAAAAGGAGTTATTCCTTTAATAACTTTTGCAGGTTTGGGTTTTTTTTTCCTGGTTTAAAAGAATGCACATTTACTGTAAAGAACTTGGAAAACACAGAGAGGTTCAAAGAAGAAAACAACGATCATGTGCTTGTGAGCATCCAGAGATAAATGCTCTTAAAGGATTTGCGTATTTCTTTTAAGCTTTTTCTGTGATGGCTGTGCTGAGCCAATAAAAAGCCTTGTCACCCTGTCACCAGGAACCCATCTTCCAGGCCTCCCCAAGCTGAGTGGGGACACAGAGCCCCCCATCCCACCCCAGGGGTGGCAGTGAAGGCCCCAAATACAGGGGTACTGGCCTGTGCTCAAAGGCGGACGCGACGCTGAGGATCCAGAACTCACTGAGGATGCTGCCGAAAGCCAGGTGGGTGTGGCGGGAATTCTGCAGAGACACCACCCATGGGAACTCCATCTCGCTGACCAAACCCTCCTCGGAATCTTCTATAACGTGGTATTTCTGGATGCCACATCCTGCTGAGAGGGTGTGCGGGGGATGACGACACTCACTGCTGGGGCAAGGGGTTGGTGGCCGCATTGGACCGCAGGACCCCCTCCTGTTGGTATCTCACTCTGGCTCTCCATATTGATCACCACTAACTTTACCTACCACCCCTGTTTCTTTTTCTAGTTGGTCTCCTTCCCTATCAAAGACTCTTGGTGGCATCTTTGAATGCAGAAATAATGTTAGGCTGCAGATAATCCCTCGCCAGGCAGTATCTGAAACCTTTAGCCACATCAGCGGTTCTTGGCGTGTAGCCTGGGACCTCTGGGAGTCCTCAAGGCCCTCTCCAGGGTCTCTAGGATTAAAACCATCTTCATAAGGATACTAAGACTGTATTTTCTTTCTTCACTTCCACTCTCTCACTAACATTCAATGGAATTTTCCAGAGGCTCCATGCTGTCATGGCTCTGATGGCTAAGAGCATGTGTGAACATGTATGTCCTTGTGTTTTGAATTTCTCCCAGCTTTGATTTCTAATACAATAACTATGGAAAGATACAAATCCATAAGCAAAAGCTCTTTGGGGGTCCTCAATAATTTTTAAGAGTATAAAGGGATTCCAAGGCCGCCAAGTCTGAGAACTGCTGACACGCACTACTTCATGCGGTCCCTCCAACAGAGCTGGCCGTGGATGGCGTCACTCTGTGTGTGCGGGTGAGAAAACAGCCTTAGAGCGGTGAGCACCGGCCCTGGTTACACAGCTGGTGGGACACAGGGCCAGTCCAGATGAATCCAAACTCCATATACTCTCAGAACCTCACAGCCTCTGTTCCAGCCACCACTGCCCCTTTCTAGGTGGGAATCTGAGTCCTGGACAACCTGGAGGTCAGGGAGGACACTGCAGCTGACATTTCTGCCAACAGGCCTCAGCAGCCTCCAAGCCCCTCCTTGCTCCCAGGCCCAACTCTGCAATTGGGGGTGAATTTAGCAGCATAGTCTTTTGATTTAATGACAAAAGGCTTCATGAAAATGATAATGCTGAAGTAGAAACACAGGAAAGGCCTGGTTCCCATGCGTACCAGGCTCTGGGAGGACACCTCCACCTGCCAGTGCCTGGGGGACACGCCACAGGAAGAGCAAGGTGGGAACTGTGAGTGGGGAGGCCGGCCTCACACTGACCCCTCTGTCCAGTGGGCCTCCCCGTAGCCTGAGGTTTATTTTCCTAACTGCACTCTCCCTGGAGGATTAACCCTGACACCGCACGGCTGAAGCCAGTTTCCTACATCCACACCCCACAGTCCACTTTGCTGGCTCCAACCAATGAGGCCCGCTGCTAGAGCAAAGCGCTCTGAGTCATCTTCCCCCAGGGTCCCTCTCTGAACAAGAAGGACCATTTGCTTCTCTGGGATGGTGCCCCCTGCCCTGTATTCCAGGATTGGTAAGTGGTGACGGAAGCGGGCGGCACACTCACTGGCAGAAGCATGGGAGGCACAGAGCAGCACCAAGAGCATCCCCATCATCTCCGCCATCCCCAAGCACAGCCGCAGCAGACACCATGGGCAGCTGTGAAGACAACAGCACGCACTTTTCCTTTCCCCCCAAAGTGGTGACATCCCCCAGCACAGGAGGCCCAGGCCCTTTCCTTCCCACCCACAAAGCATCCAGGCTGTGAAGAGCAGACCTGCCACGTCCCTATGGCTCGGTTCCCTGCAGTCAAGAGGCAGGGACCAGCTGCCCAGCACCGAGATTCTGTTGGGACCTGTGAGATGGCCCGAGGAGAGGAGGCTGCTCACGCCTGTCGATCTAGCCAGGGTCCCTGGCTTCCCCGAGTCGGGTCTCAGAAAAGTGTCCTTTGACTCGTAGAATTCAACCCTTGCCTTAACTCTGTAGCTATAAAATGCTGCCGAAAGAAAGAAATGGGTTTAGTGCGAGCTCATGCTGGTTTTGTCCCTCCTACCAAACACTGCTGGCATCGACAGTGCTGCATTTAACCGGGACAGCTCATGCTTGTACACAGACACAGCCCCGGCATTCCGCTCCATTCATTCACACAATAACCCTAGGAAGTAGGAAGTAGATGCTATCATTACCCCATTTTACAGATTCAGAAACTGACACTGAGACATTGAGATGCCTGCCCAAGGGCACAAGGCTGCCAAGTGGTGAGGCTGGAATCCAAGCTCAGGTCTAAGTCTTCACCATGCACCATACCTCCAGGCCTACCCTTGCCTCAAACAATGCACAGAGCCTGAGGAACCCATGTGTGCCATTCCCAGTCACCATGGTCCACTCATGACACCGGGTGCTTCTTGCCGTCCGGGTGGTTCTCCGAGTTCTTCTGTGAACTGCTTCTGCTGAAGGAGAAATGAGCTCACTCTGACCTTACACAGCAGAGCCCAGTAGAGGGATTCCTTCTACCACCTTGGGAAGAATGTCCCATTGTGGCATCATGGTTACCATGGTGTCGCCAGGAAAACGTCTGGACATGGGGACGCAAGAGGAGCCAAGATGAAAAGCCTGCCTGTTTCCTAAACTTGGCAGGGCTATTCAGGAAGCCTGGCTGTCCCCGGGTCTGACCAAGAAGAAAGACATCCCTTTTGTTGGATGGCAAAGTCCTGTCCAGTTGCGGCCCTGCTCTGTCTACCTCCTCAGCACCCGCCCTGTGTCTATACCCGAGTTTCAGACTGGACGGAGGAAGCCCATGACTAGGGTGGGTTTGGTTTTTCCAATCCCTGTCGGCATTTTCACACCCCCAGCATGGTTTCCTGGAGGCTCAGCCCAGTTGTCTTCAGCGGCTCCAAACCAAGCTACCCGACGAGGCTCTGTTGAATTGTTTGGTCACATGGGAGCTGCACTCGCCCACTGCGAGAGTCTTTGGTTTCAGGGCAAATGCCAGGATTGAGGAACGTGTTGACAATGTGGTGGGAAGATGTAACTCCATGGACTCAGAGGGCTTGCAGGCTGCTGGCACGGGCACTCAGGAAATATGTATTGGACCCGTAGATGAATGAATGGCTGGGGGAAGGAGGACGGCTGGATACAGAGGGAAGCCTGACTCAGGAGCCACTATCTCCTCCCCCACGAGGTTCCCCTGGTGCCCTCAGCGCCTCACCATCCTCAATCACCTCTAACACCGAGTGGGGGCGTGGCTTCTGCTTGGGGGGCGGAATGGGAAAGATGGTTGGCAGTGAAAGAAATGGGAATTAGTCCTTCAGTGTGTTCCACATAGCAGGTCTCAACGAGCTTTCACATTTTCTCGTTCATAGTTCACAGTCACCCTGCCAGGATGAAGGAGTGACCCGAGCTCTCCAGGTGGAAAGGCTGAGAGTTATTTCCTCTCAATTCTCTTACGATGTTTTCCCCCCTGTCCTCTGGATTGCATTGTTTTGAGATGTCTCCCCTCAGTCAAATTGTTTCTTTATAAATGATCTACCCTTTCTCTCTGCCCTTTTTAAGACCTTCTTGGTTTTGGTGTACTATGTTTACACTGAAGTGAGCTGGGTCATGAATTTCTTTTTATTTATTCAGTTTAGGATATGTTATCATTCCTGGCTTTGTGTATATATATTCTTAGAGATTCTGAAACTATCTCAGCCATTATCAAATATTACCATTTCTTCAGGCTCTCTTTACTTCTGGGACTCAATATAGACATGTTAGACTTTCTAATTCTATCCTTCATATCTCTTACCCTTTCATATTTTTATCTTTTTGTCACTCTGTGCTGTTTTCTGGGTGATTACTGTATATTTGCCTTCCAGTTCACTAATTGTCTATGTCAAATCTGCTGCTGTTCACCCATCCTCTGGAGCTTTTTTAAAACTCAAAGAAATATTTTTATTTCTGGAAGATCCATTTTTAAAGTCTCCCTGTTTATTTCCGATGGTATCTTATTGGTTTTCATCTTCATATTGCATCCTTTATTTCTTCAACCATTGAATATGTATCTGTTCTATATTTGGTATCTGGAAATTCCAAGACCTATTTGAGGGGTGGGGGGAACTCTAAATGCATTTGTCTTTTTTGCTTTATCTGCTAACTCTTACGAAGTGGCTTGCCTCCCCACATGCCTTTGTAATGACTGTTAGTTTCTTGTTCTTAATCCATGGGCATCCTATGGGTTTAAACTGGGTCCACTTTCTTCTAGTTTGCTTCTGTCTCTGGTCACCAGAGGGTACCACTCCCCACCCTCTCCACTAGTATTCTTACAGCTATGCAGCTGACAGCACCTGCCCTAAGGCAACCTTTCCTCTCCCAGATGTTGACAGCTCAGGCCTCAGCTCACTTTTCTTGGAATCTTTTCCTAAAGTTTGTGAGAGTAAAGGTAACTCAAAGGGTGTGTCCTCTGCACTGTTTTGCAATGAGAAGGCTTTCGAGACCACCTAGTCTGCAGTGATGGTCAAAGCTGAAAGGGATGGAGCTTGACAATAGACCACACACTAGAAACTGGACTAATGAATTTTCAGTAGAGGAAAATGTAATTCCCAGGTAGTCACTGTTGGACTTCTTAATTTACTTTTGGGTTATTTCTGTTGCTATTGTTTGGTTTTGAATACACAGATTTTTGGCTGCTCACTCAAATTCATCATACTCTCATCACTTATCCCAGTGTAAGTGAATCCCACTTGAGCCCTAGCCACTGTTTTTCTGATATGCTTCTATTTTCCATCACTATTTTTATACTCTTTTAGTCATCCCTTCATTTTTGTGAATTGGAGCAATAACACCACACAGGCCTGATATTCCCCTGGGGGTGGACCTGTGACCCGAGCCAGGCCCATCAGATCCTCCCATTCCTGGAATTTGGGTCTTGAGCCAAAGAGCAGGAAGAACAAAACAGCTGTCTCATCCTGAGACCCAGCTCTTCTGTGAACTAGCTCAGATCCTACCAGCAAACTTCTTTCCTGCATAAGACTCAGGAGCAGTTTCTGTTGCTTCTGACCAAAGAAAACTTGACTGATCTGCTGGTCTAGTGCTTGGAGTAGCTTTTCTGCCTAAGGATTTTTATCACGTCTGATAAGTGACTGCTGCC